AAGAACGTATACGTTTATTGTTCGGTTGACTTGATATTTGGTCTTAATTGCAGTACCCATAATACTTATGAGTTTGTAGTACTGTTGGGGTTTACACTGCTGCTTGAATGTAATTACTGAGCATTGTTTTGACTTCAGACACACACATACATTGGCTGCAGAACCACAGTTAGTTATCTGTTCACACACACACACACACACACACACACACACACACACACACACACACACACACACACAACCACACTCTGACTGTCTCTCTTTCTCTCCCATGACAGATTTAGATTCTCAGTTCTCTCTAACCCGGGCTCAGCGGGTCAGGGCGGCCATGTTTCCAGAGACCCTGGTTGAGGAGGAGGCAGCCATGCCCGTCCAATCAGATCCTTCACAACAGAGCAACGTGCAGCGTCTTGCTGAGCCCTCTCACCTGCTGAAGAATGCTATAGTCCACCTGATAAACTACCAGGACGACGCAGAGCTGGCCACCCGGGCCGTACCGGAGCTCACCAAGCTGCTGGCCGACGATGACCCGGTACGCACACACACCTAACAACTAAGCCAGGGGTGTCAAACTCAATTTCATCACTGGCCACATCAGTATTACGGTTGCACTCAAAGGGCCAGTTGTAACTTTAAGATTTTATAAATATAGATATATAAATACATATTATATATAAAATAATGTATTAAATTACATAATTGCCAATAATTGCAAGTCTCTTCAGTGGGCATGTCACAAAATGTGATGCATTGTGGGACATGCAGTTTATGGACAACGTGCTTCTGTAAAGCGGCATGTAACCGTATAATAAACGTATTATATTCTTTGCAAGCTCTTGCGGGCCACATAAAATGAAGTCATGGGCCGCCTTTGGCGCACAGGTCTTGAGTTTGACACCCCTGAACTAAGCTGTCAGACTAGGGGTGTCCGGGGGCCAAGTGCGGCCCTTAGTCCATTTTCAATTGGCCCTTAGCAAATTCTAAAAGTATAATGTAACATGGCCCACACCTGAAACTTTTGCTTTTCCTATATTGTACTTCTTAAATATATATTTACAAATATATATATGTACAAATGTATTACTTATATCCATAACCAGCTTGAAATATACCCTTCATTTTCCCCCTTATTATAAGCATTCTGAGGCTTCTTTTTTAAGGGATGAGCTGCAACACTTTTTGTAACAAAATAAAGTAAACCCTCTGGTGAGCTTTGAAGGAGGCTGTTTGTTTTCTTAAAGCATATTCAAGTATCAAGCATAATTTACCTACATTTGATTAATTTTGTTATCTTAACTCAACTGAACATATGAGGCAATAAACCTCACCTTTTTCTGTATGTGGCCCTCAGTGAAAAAGGTTTAGACCCCTTCTTTAGGCATTATATTTGACACTGTTACTTTATTTCTTCCCCAGGTTGTGGTGAACAAAGCAGTCATGATAGTCAACCAGCTGACTCGTAAGGAGGCCAGTCGCCGGGTGCTGGTGCAGTCTCACACCATTGTAGGCGCTGTGGTGCGCGCCATGACAACAGCAGCTGACGTGGAGACGGCCCGTTGTGCGGCCAGCGTGCTGCACTGCCTGTCCCACCAGAGAGAGGGGCTGCTGGCCATATTCAAGTCTGTAGGGATCCCAGCACTGGTCCGCATGCTGAGGTAGAAACACTGGAAATAGTGCCTACAAAGAGTTATATTAGGGTGTGTTCACACCTGCCTTGTATCCGGTTGTAGTCCGGTTGAATCGAACCCTGGTGCATTTAGCCGCTTGGTGCGGTTCATTTGGGTCGGTGTGAACACAGTCCGACACCTCTTAGGTGAACTAAACAACCGGACTCTGGTCCGCTAAAATAGGTGGTCTCGGAACGCTTGCTTGCGAACTCTGGAGCGGGTCATTGCTGGTGTGAACGCAGTCCGCACCAAAACATAGGAAGCGTAGTATTTACGTGTCACAAGAACGCGGGTGTCTTAACAAATCTTTAGCGAAAGAGTCTTTCAAGACATCCGCGGTAGTTTAGTTAAAGAGTGAAGCAGAATGAAGTGTTGAACAGTGTCGTGTAAAGTAAAAATGCTCCGTCAACTACATAAAATTAAGAACACCTGTCGTCGGTGAAACGCCCCTCCTTACTGCAGAACGTCTCTCATTATATGTGTTATAATATTTTTTAACGGACGTTGTCTGATTATATAATAATATGTGTGGGCCGCTAGTGTCTGTTGATCTCCAGATTAACAGCAGCATGAGAATAACCTGCCGAAAGTGCCGATGCTCCATGGTGGAGGCTCCGGTAGAAATTGCCGGGATTTGCGTTTTTTCCCCCTTAATGTCTGAGCAATGGTTGAACAGCATTTCCGTGCACATGACTTGTGTTTAAAGTTTATAGTCCGTTTGAGTTTTGCCCATGTGAATGCAAACCGAACCTTCTGAAAAATGAAACAATGTAACAAACTGTCGTCTGGTGCGCACCAGAGAGCGACTATTAGGTGTGAATGCACCCTAACGGCCCCGTCCACACACAGGCATGAAAAAA